ATGAAAATGGATATTTTGCCCTATGATAAGGTACACGAATTAAAAATTTCCACGTGTGTTTTCAATGTTGTCAAAAACAACCTGCCTTTTCATGTTTCTTTATTGTGCACATCCTCTCGTGTAACCAGAAATCAAACATATGGAGATTTCAATCTTCCTCCAACGAAGAATACTTACGGACGTTTGCTGCAGTTTTCAGAGCCAAAAATTTGGAATAAACTACCAGCAGAAATAAAACAGTCGAATAATTTTTCATCAGTTCTCAAGAAATACTTACTTACACAGAACAATGTTTATCAATGAAAACAATTATGATGTCATTTGTGTGTGTGTATGTGTATGTATGCATGTGTGTCTGCCAGAAACTTGCAAAATCGTTTAAAAATATTATTGTCACCCAATGATTACGTTTTTGTTTTCGGTATTAACCATGCATATTTTAACCTTCATAATAATGCAACAATCTGCTTTGTTTACTTGTATTTTTGTAAATTAGAACTTTTAAAAACAATCATGCATTTACCGACACTTTCGCTCTTCCTTTGTTTCACTCGTGCAAATTAAGGATGCACGATAACTATCTGTATGCGTGTGATATATCTTTTTTGTACATGGAACCCTTAGTTATTTATTTTTTTGGGCCCCCAACTAGCCTTCGGCTATGGGTCCAACCAGTCGTGATATTTCTGTATGTTTCACAGATTACAAATAAAGAATTGAATTGAATTGAATATATCTTCTTGGTGGAAAAAAGTTATTCTGCTATCTGTAAAAGTTTCCGATGTATTGCAGAAGTTTTTATGCAGGGTGTACAAAATTGACATTTTGAGAAAATCAAGAAAACAAAGAATTCTAACATTCTCAACCGTAAAAATGTATGTACTTAGGATTACATAGTCATTAACATATATATTGCTACCTGTAGGCTGCCACAAACCATAGTGCGAATGCGCGTGTGCGCCCGACGAAGAAGATGAGGCTCGCTGGCTGCTCGAGCTCGGAGCCAGACTGGCCAGTGCTGCAACCGCTCTTGCCAATATATTTTTCGAATATATTCGCAATACTTTGTCTCGTTACTCACGTAACAATATGGATACTAGAAAGCCGAATGAGTGCAACGCTGCAAGCTGATCGAAAATTGAACAAGTACGTCTTGAATTACAGCACAGTAAAATTCATTGCATGTAACCAAATACAAAAATTTTTACATTAAAATAAAGAAATGAAGCTGCCCATTAAAAATAAGCTCTCAGCATTGTTTTTTGTGCACATTTAGCTATATTGTGCAAAAACAGTTATAGCTCTAGCTGTCCTAGATCCACTTTTACCGAATAAGCAAAAAAAAGTGGTCGAAATCTGTGCTTCGAGAATGATGTTGTTAAAACTTCATTTCGCCGTTCCGGAGTGAAAAATGTCATGGCACACATACTTTAGTTAATCAATGTAATAGGACTGATTGTTTGCACAAGCGTGTCGTTTATTCTAGTCCTGTAGCAAGTTGTCGTCGTGTGCTCGTCTCCCGCTAGGCCACTTATCAGTTCAGTGATTGTACTGAAGGCGATGTGCGACGAATGGGCGCGCATCATCGCGCGTCATCCGCGATCCGGCAAATAAAGCGGCGATATTTTCCGGCTTGTCCAGAATGAGTTACCCGTAAATGTTGCGAACGAAAGTTGCTCCCTTGCTCATCGATTTCGAGGCTATGCAAGTGCCAAGGTGTTAGTTTCCTTTTCACGTAAAACTGCCACATTTTCGATTCAAACATATCGATAAAAGCAGTCCAGTCTACTTGTTGCCAGGAGCCTCCATTGCGGGGGCGGCAAGCACGTTCACCGCGAACAGAATGACTTTCTCTTGTTCGTCGACGTGCGGCGTACTCCGCTCTGACGACCCGCCGCGCAGTTAAAGGTCCTTTCCTCAGGTGGGGGAACCACGGCATCGGCGCAATTCGCGATAAGACTGCGCTTTCGTTTGGTCACTACAAAGATTGATATCTCTTGTAGCTTCACTTCTGATTTTTACTTGGCGTCCTCTAACTGATGAGGCTGCAAAACACTGCTGTTCTCAGTAACGTTGTCGGCAACCAACGGGCTCGTACGTGAGTTAGGGCTACACCGGTGACTCGGCGACCGCCGTTGACCGCAGTGGGTTTGCTATCCTCGTTGTCCTGGGCCATAGCGGGGCTCTTTCTGAAGTTCACAGCAAACGAACGACCGCCACACTTGCTTCACAAATTACTGTAGCACGGAACTTCTTTACTGCCTCAGGCAGTCAGTAAGTAGCACCATGACAAAACGGCACATGTCCGTGCGCGTCACGATGATAAAGCAGACACCGGAAACGCCCCTTGGCCAATCGGATGCCCAGGTCTTGTCACGTGCCCCAAGCAGCCAATAGAATCGTGCGCTAGTGCTTCTCAATTACGCGTTTTTGCTAAAAAGCATTGATCAAGGCGAGTCAGCGGTGGCGGGAAATCGAAGATGAAAAACGACCCTTCCAAACGAGACTAAGATGAACACGATAGCTCGTGTGTAACGGCAACAGTTCGGCATGGAAAAAGCGCAATTTTAGCGTCGATTTGCACTCACGTTCATCGCACAGGGATGTTTTAAATTGATTTCGAGCCAGAAATAATGACACAAGAAGCTAGAAACTTCTCAGATAGGTGCAAAAATAGGTACAGATTCCGAAAATGTAGAAGGGTTGACAGGCGGGCTAGTTGGTACAAATTCATAATGAAATAATTGGATGCGCAAACCAACGGGACACAAGAGAAGAGACAAACAAGCGCAAAACGTCAGCTTCAAAAAGTCAATTTTTTTGCGATTTTTGGCCTTCTAAGACCCGTGTTCTCCCTTAATACGCTTCCACGCTGCACGCCCTGTCGGATGAAAGAGCACGGTGAAATAAACCCACGCAACCAAAGTCACTCCTCTGCGGCGCTCGTGGACGTATTATGTGTCGTAGTGTAGGTACAGAGAGGAGATGCTGGTAGGCATGAGAGTAATGAGTCTTGACAGATGTGCGGGGTTTAATGTCCTAAAACCACCATATGATTATGAGACGCCGTAGTGGAGGGCTCCGAAAATTTCGACCACCTGGGGTTCTTTAACGTGCACCCAAATCTGAGAACACGGGCCTACAACATTTCCGCCTCTATTAAAAATGGAGCCACCGCAGCCGGGATTCGATCGCGCGACCTGCGGGTCAGCAGCCGGGTACCTTAGGCACTAGACCATCGCGGCGGGGCGAAGAATGAGTTTTGTCGAGGAGAGTGCCAAGTGTGTTGTGTATGGGAGTATATATAGGTGTTCTGCGGTATGGGGAGCCTACATGAACGGCCGGTCCTGTGGACGCCCTGTGTGGCGGGCGGCAAACATACTTAGGAACATGTTTGCCGGCATTTGATGATGCGGCATTTGCTCTTAGCGTCATACACTTTATATCAAAGGAATCTACTGAAGGCTACAGGTGTACAGCCCCAAGTCTTCCCGATGGCCTTTCGGTTGCCTCGCCACTTCTGATTTTACATATATACACATAACACATGGCACCCTCTGGTGCCATGTATTCTGATATCTAGTTGACAGCCCACACTTAAGCATTTAACCTTGGCGGCTTTCCATATGCAAAAATTTTGGCTCTTTCAAAATAGTGCCAATTGGAAAACATCGTCAGTGCAGTCCGGAGCACGCTTTCTCGGTGTTTTAGAGAAATGGGCGGACCAGTGATCTGTACTATAGGTACGTTACGCACGGCAACACACGACTCGCCAGTGAGACGACCACTCGCTCTAGTCCCTTGCCTAGCTGATCGATTTGAAGGTCGTGGGGTGGAATCTGTGGTGGTAGCATTTTCAATGGAGGCAAATATGTTTGAGACCCGTGTGCTCAGATTCAGGTGCCCAGTAGAGAACTCCAGATGGTTGAAATTGCTTCAGCCCTCCACTACGGTATCCCTAATAATCTGATCTCCTTTTGGGATTTTAAACTCTGACAAATATTACTATTTGGCTGAGTTGAAACGCGGTGTGAATAGGTGCAACACGGAAGAAAACGGGACACCGCGGCACAATGGAGCAAATTATAAATCAACGCACCTACTTATCGAACTACGCAGCGTGGATGACGACCACAAGAATGTAAAATAACTTGAAATAGTGAAAGTGAACCATAATGTAAGCAAAACGGGCCTTTCTCTTCTTTTTTTTTTTTTTTGTCATGTGACCTCAAACTCGCTTGACAAGACGTAGCATTTGAAGCCGAACGCATTACCAATGACGTCATATGTGATGTTTATGTTGGGCCACGTGACCCCAAGCTGTTGAGGTCCAAATAGACTCTACCCTTGTAAACCTTCAGCATCAACGTTTCAATAAAAAGAAATAAAAGTCACACTTTCATTTTTTTTTTCCCCCTCCACACCGTGTTGCGTCTTTCGAGAAGTAAGGCGTCTGTTCGCTTTGTCGTCTGCTTGCGTACCGCTCCTGTGGTCACGACGGATTTCAGAACATGAGTTCGTAGTACTGAGGCATTGTTAATATAACATGAAACTAAATTAACACGCTCATCATTCTGAAAAGTTTGGTATTCTTAAGTACGTAGTAGAAAAATATTTTACATTGAAACTATTAGCAGTCGGTGCAGGATTTATTAAAGGTTCGCTAATCTGAAACATTCGATAATGTGGGGTTCGTTTAACCGAGATTTCACTGTAACTATGTGGACGTACGAATCCGAAAGTCTTTGTGTTCCTATGCATTGTATATCATATGTCTAACAAGTTTTACATTTTTGTTTACTGCCAATGAACTGCCATTATGTCATGTAATACAATGTTGTGACATGTTGCGAGTATCGGGGCTCCTGTCAGGCGCTGCTCGCCTTTAGCTTGAGTAGCTTTCTTGAAGTTGTCAAGATCAAATAAAGATTATCTTTATTATTCTAGTTGAATGTGCTATGGCGAAATACTAATGCTGAAGTTTTTCAAATATACCGTACCTGGATAGTAGTTGACGGCTGAACCCAGCTGAAATCCTGTGGCCTCTTGTGTGGTTCTGGTGGTGGACAGAGGCTGACGCTCGACCAGAGCTGGCCACAGCGCAACACACCGTGAAAAGGTGCATACTGTGCCTGTGCAAGATTGAGGAAGGCTTGCTGCACGCTGCGAATTGACAGGCCCCCTTCAGGAACGAACAAACGACCACCGGTTCGCTGAGCCAGGCGTCCCAGCGGGCTCAGAGCTGGTGGTGGCGCCCCATTTGTTGGGTGCAGGCAAACAACATGCAGCCGTCCTGGGCCACCATCTTCACAGCCCCGCCAGCCACCAAGGGCACCATCAGTGACCAGGATCACCTACGCAAAAATGGCGTTGCATAACTTTCATGTGCAACTAACATCAAAACTTACTTAAATGGAACCTGAAGGGACAGAGAAAATTGTTCCATTTAAGAGAAGTTTTATTTATTTATTTTTTATTTATTTCTGTATACTTCAGACCTTTTCAGTCCAAGCAGGAGTGGTAATACAGAAAATCATTGCAATGCTGTCGAAAGTGACGATCTCATAAAGAAACAACCAAAAAAGTCAGTTCAATGCTGGATGGTAGTTTACAGTTTCGAAGATACAGAGTTTACATCACATGCGAGCATAATACAAAAATGTAATACACTAATCAGAACAAAAGATATTGCTGATTTCTTGAGCAAAATATTCTACCGTTTCACATTTCACCGCATATGATGGTAGACTATTCCAGTATGCTATCGATGATGGAAAAACAGAGTTTTTATGAATGTCATTGTGACCTTTAGGCAGCCGTATTGTCTTGTACTGGTTAGTTATTGAGGAGTGTTTGAGGGGTTGAAGGAGATGTTCTGTTCCAGATATTTTATAATGCTCATTAAACAGATGATACAGAAATTTAAGTTTGGAAATTATTCTGCATTGATTAATATAACTAAGCTCGTTTTTTTTTGCACAGAGCTGTAACTCTGGTATGCCGGGGATAATTTGAAAACACAAATAGGACTGCTAAATTTTCAACTCGCTCGATCATTTTATGAGCAATTTGTGATGTGGACTCCAAATTATGTCAGCATATTCAAGTGCTGGTCTAATTAGCGTCTTATATGCAGTTAGTTTGAACTCAGGAGGTGCGTTCCTTAGTCTTCTCTTCACAAATGACAGCTTTCTTCGCGCTTTTGCAGAAATAGTCGCTATATGTGGTTACCAACTGAGATTGGATGTTAATGTAACTCCCAAGTATTTTACTTGGTTACTTTTGATGATTTCCGACTTTCTTCATTTGTATGTGAAATTAATAGGCTTTTTTTATTGTTTAAAAAACTTATGGCTACCGTTTTCCTTGCCTTCAGTATCATTCCCCATTCTGTTTACTGAGAGATAAACATGGGTGCAGAATACAAGCACGAAACCAAGCATTGCAGAGGCGATAGTACCAAAGTTCCGTTTAACAGATTTCCATTTACTGAGAGTCTACTGTATAGTTAAGTCACATCCATAGCATTATCCGTGGTGTTACTAACTTGTTGTTTCGGTCATACCTTTTTGGGCGGACTCAGTTCATTGCTATTGAAACATTTTGCTCCTCATATCGTGAAATTAAAGTGGGAGTACTGCAGGGTAGCGTATTGCGACCAATACCGTCTATGTAAATGATATCGCTCTAATTGTTAGAGATGCATCCATTGTGCTATACACTCAGGATACAAATTTGTTTGCCTTTGGCCATGAACTTGATGATGTGTTGCAGAAATCCCACGGTGTTCTTTCTAACTTGTCAACATGGTCTCGTAATAATGTGCTAACAGTTAACAGTTCAAAATCAAAAGCCATATTATTCAGGGCTAGAGGGAGACGGCCTTATTTCACTGAAGAATTATTTTTAGATAGTACGCCAATTGAAATTCTGATGAACTACAAAGTATTAGGTGTTACGCTTTCACAAGATATGAATTAGACCCATCATGTGGAACTACTTGCAAACTCACTGCCATGTGCCGCCCGCTGGTGTGCTATCTCCCTGTTGACATCTTTTTCCAAAGAGGGTAAAATTGCAGATATAGTACACCCTGTATGAACAGCATCTCAACAATAGCGCGTTCGTGTAAGCCCTCACCACAAAAGGCAACACTCGTGTACTTCTTCAACTTCAAAAATGCACGCTTTGACAGATTGCACATGTACCTAATATTTATTCCACTGTGCCATTTTTTCAAAAACATAAGATATTACGTGTGACAAGTCTCTACGAATACAGACTTCTATATTCATTTTTTTGGCTCCGAGAATATCAAATCCTTTTAAGAATATACATCACGGCTTGAATACAAAAATAGTCACTCGCACACTCGAAGCCACAACACGTGGTCCGTACCATACAGGCGCACAAATTACCTTATGCAATCTCTGAGGCATAGCCTACCTTCGATACTAAATACTAAATAAATTGGAAAGGGAAGGATTCATTCCAAATATTCTGACACCCAAACAAATTTGAGAATACTTTTGCAAGTATGCATGAAGGGATAGAGAAAATAGTTTTTCAACTTATACACTTTTTTTCCTTTTTATGGTCTTTCTCCCTCATTGTTTCGATAAAAATTGTATTATACCATTATGCATCACAGCCATGTTCATACAAGTCATTTTTTTTCATGTTGTAACTTCCATTGCTTTTTGTGTATAGTAATGCATTAAGACATTTCCTCTTTCTAAATGTATTAAATTTGTATTTTTATAAATATCATGTTTGGAAGTGTTATTCAATATGTCCCTTTTTTCAATTCCATAAAAATTGTGGATTTTTTTCCTGGATATATACTTACATGTATGAATGTTAATTTTGATGTTACTGCTGCTATCTGACGGCCTTCGGGCACATTCAAGCTGTATGATGCAGCTTTTCACATGACGGATCCCCAACAATTGTGTTGGGGATTCGTCTGATAATCTGATTCTGAGTACAAATGTAACTACATTTGTTAAATGCTATAACCACTGTAAGCATGCATATTGATATTACCAGAAAAAGAAATTTGCCTTTGTTAGATTTACTGTGCAATAAGCTAGTTGATCATATCGCCATTTGTTGTATACTGAATTCTTTCTTGTTTGAATTACACTGTGGCCTAAGATAATTTTTTCTCTGCCCCAAGCTGATCTGCTTAAAAAAGTGGTGCCATCAAATGTAGAGGCTGTAGCAAGTCTCTTGTGGGTTTCCTCTGTAAGCAAGGACACTCCACACGAATGGCCGAACACACTAAGCGTTTAGAAAATATTTTAATTCACTTCTAAAGTGTACTTAAAGACTCATTCTCCTGATCGAGGCCCATTGCAAGCACATCAGCACTGACGTAGGAAGGACAATGAACGTTGTCACAGCAGATCTGTATTGAGCACAGGCATGCACAGGTTTCCCTGCAGGGTTATAAATGTAAACAAAGTTTTACTTAGCCCCTGCAGGCGGCGTTCATCACAGTGCCCCCCCTGCTTCTAAGCTGACTACAGGAGCAGTAAAAAAACACACAACCACCCCTTTGATGTTCGTGTATATAAAAGCATCCATAAAATTATGACACAATATTCCTTACAAAGGCTGGCCCGGCCTGTATAAGTACAACCTCCCTACTTGGTTCTTCTAAAGAAAAATGTATTTGTACGTTTAGTGTTGTCTGATGCTGGAACATCCAATCAGTGAACTCAAGTAAAGTACAAACAGCTCAGACTATGGTACTGGAGTTATTGAAATATGCACTGTGACAATAACAAGCTCTGGAAACCTATAAATATGCCCCCTCTTGTATTGAGCAGCTAATCTTCTTTCTAGCATATAATTATGTTCAAGGCATAATGTATCACGTGCATTACATCATTATACACTCGTACATGAACACAAAAGTACACTGTCATCCTTTATGAAAGGGAACACGCGAACATGTGGCCTGCCCTCTGCGGCGGCTGCCTACAGCAACATCAACCGACAGCAAAAGTAAACACGTTCGCTTTCAGCGTCACCTGTTGCTGAAAAAAATAATAACGAGTAATGGTGGGTAGACAAGTGCTGCTAGATTGCACTCTCTCTCTGCTTACGCCTGCAGTGCGTAGTCCACTGCCAACATATCAAACATTGTTTGCGACCACGGCGCAAGCTGCAGTAATCGCCCGATATCACTAGCCGCGCGAGCGATCAGGGAACGTATTCTAGCAGTGCGTGTCTACCGTCCATAACTCATTAACTTGCTTGGCCATAGATGACGCGAAAAGCGAACATGCTTTTTTCATTTGTCGGTTGATGGTGCTGTAGGCAGCTGCCGCAGAGCGCAGGCCACGCGTTCGCATGTTCCCTTCGATAAAGAATGACAGTGTACATTCTGCATAGAATGTATTCCTCACACAAGGTGCATCATGAGAAAGGGGACACTGATAAACTGTGAGTGTCAATGTATGTGCCACGACAACAACCTGCGATGGCATTGCAGATCCCCATTCGTCAAGAAGCACTTGCCGCGCTCCTTGCAAGCCAAGGTTCAGATCGGTGCGGTCATGGCATTCCATCTGCGCTAAGGTTGCCTTGATGCTCTCCGTGTCACGTGTGAATGGCACCATCAGTTCCCAAAGTGACGAGAACACCACCTGCATCAAAAAAGACACAGTTTTGTTTTTTACTAGGTAAAGGCACAACTGAACATAAGGACACTACAGACAAATCGTTACTGAGGTGACTTTTTACTATGCTGGTCGTTTTCTTTTATCATTATCATCAGCCTGTCTACACCCACTGCAGGGAAAAGGCCTCTCCCATGATCCGCTAATCAACACGGTCTTGTGCTTTCCGTTGCCACGTTATACCCGCAAGCTATTTAATCTCATCGGACCCCTAACTTTCCCTTTTGTGCATTTGCCTTCTCTGAAAATCCATTATGTTACCCTTAAGGACCAGTGGTTATCTTGCCTACGTGCTACGTGCCAGGCCCGTGTCCATTTCTTCTTGATTTCAGCTATGATATCCTTAACGCAGATTTGTTCTTTTGCGAAATTCCTCAGTAGAAATTATTAGTGGGGGCCCTGTTTACACCTTCAGATCTGAAAGTGTGCACCTGTTGATGTGCTAGGTTCAGATAAACTGTCGCGTTGTCGCTCTTGAAGATGGCAAGCATCTCATCAGCCCTAGTGGATGTGTAGTCGAGAAAATAAAAAAAAGGACGAACGCAAGACATGCAGGTTCTTTCAATTCATTGGTTCTGGACAAACTATAATAGACCATTTTCAAGCAATCTCAGATTCCACCACGGGCACGCGAACACTATGGCAAAAGTTCGTATGCTGAATCTGACGGGTGCGCCAGCTGTTTTACGCCGCCCGCTGTTCGTTGGTGCAGTGGGAGCACCAAACGAAAGATAAAAAGAAAATATGACCCGCTTGCTGACTAATATTACATCATAATTACTATGCATGTCTGGACGCACCTGCATGTATCTCTCTGCATGAAATGCTGAAGGAATATTGCAAACAGCGTAGGTATTACCAAGCAGATGTTTACGGAATGTAGCCGTGGAGCGGCATGCGAATGATCCCGCGCAGATATATGCAGCCAAAAGGTGCTATTATGAGCAATGGGAGCTGGAATACCGAATTCATAATTATTAAATGATTACATGTCCAGAAGTTGAACAATTCATTGACCGTGATTCATCATCAGCTTGACTATGCCCCCTGCAGGGCAAAGGCCTCTCCCATCATCCATCAATCAACCCGGTCTTGTGCTTTCCGTTGCCACGTTATACACACAAACGTTTTAATCTCATCGGCCCACCTAACTTTCTGTCTCCCCTTTGTGCATTTGCTTTCTCTAGGAATCCAGTCAGTTACTCTTAATAACCAGCAGTTATCCTGCCTATGTGCTACGTGTCCGGCCAATGTCCATTTCTTTTTCTTGATTTCAAATATGATACCCTTAACCCCGATTTCCTCCCTGACCCACTCTGCCCTCTTCTCGTCTCTTAAGGTTACATCTATCATTATCCTTTGCGTCGCTCGCTGCATCGTCCTCAATTTAAGCTGGACCCTCTTTGTAAGCCTCCAGGTTTCTGCTTCGTAGATAAGTACTGGCAAGATGCAGCTGTTATATACCTTCCATTTGAGGGTTAGTAGCAGATTACCATTCATGATTTCAGAATGCTTGCCAAATGTGATCCACCACCTACTTATTCTCCTAGTTATTTCACTCTGATGGTTCGGCTCCTTGGTTACTACCTGTCCCTAAGTAGACATATTCCTTTACAACTTCCAGCGTCTCTCCACCTACCAAAAAGTGTTGTTTTCTGCAGAGACTGTTGCATATCACTTTAGTTTTGTGCATATCAATTTTAAGACCTACTTTTCTGCTCTCCATGTCCAGTTCAGTAATCATGACCTGTAATTCGTCCTCCGAGTTACTTATCAAGGCACTGTCATCAGCGAATCACAGGTTACGAAGGTGTTCTACATTAACTGTTATCCCTAACTCTTCCCAGTCTAGGGCCCTGAATAACTCCTGTAAACAAGTGGTGAATAAATAGCATTGGAGAGATTGTATATCCCTGCCTTACAGCCTTCTTTATTGGGATTGTGTCGCTTTCTTTATGGAGAACTATGGTGGCTGAGGATCCACTGTTGATTTCTTCCAGTATGTTTTTCTAAAGTCTTCGATGCCCTGATTCTACAGTGCCTGCATTACTGCTGATGTCTCGACTGAGTCAAATACCTTCTTGTAATCTGCAAAAGCGCAAATTTATCTATTACCTGATTGATAGTGTGAATATGGTCTATTGTGGAGTAGCCTGTACGAAATCCTACTTGATCCATTGGTTGAATAAACTCTAACCCAGTTCAATTCTCAACTATTTAGACCTACCCCGTACCTTCACTTCAGATGGGAGGGTCCATTAGCCCAGTGATCATGGTTGTGGCCATGCAGCAGCTACAACGAAGCAGTAATTGAACCTTATAAATGCCGCAGTTGGCTAAACCTTGCACAGCCTATAACTGTAGTACTAAATGAGTGAACAATGTTTGCTACAACGAAGCAGTAATTGAACCTTATAAATGCCGCAGTTGGCTAAACCTTGCACAGCCTATAACTATAGTACTAAATGAGTGAACAATGTTTGTATTGTACAAAAAAAAAAAATGTGTGTGAGACACTATTCAGTACTTGCCCTAAACACACAAACTAATGTCTTGGGAGCATGCTCAGGCTCACTCTTCCATCAGCCATTTCTTGAACGTCTAGCAGTTAAGCGGGGCGGGGGGTGTTAGTGCAGTGATGGAAGTGACTTTTCACTTTTTGGAGCATACCTTGAAGCAGTAAAAGTACTGTGTTGGAGCTGCAATAAGTGTTTCCAGAGCGGAAAAAGTGTTAGTTTGTAACAGCTATAGGTGCTTTAAGAGCAGATACAAAATTTGCCATACACCGATTGAAGTTTAAAGCATCGTCGAAGCATCTCATTAATAATATTTATTATAAAACATTGTTACGGATGTGATGGGTTTATTTACACTGAAAATGCCAGCGCTCAACCGTTACTGCCGAATCACCGTCACTCGAGAGCATCCTACCCCTCCTTCTTTCTTGCTCTTTCAGTCTGCGTTACATATTCCTCCGGGCAAGACGAAGCTCACGAGCGAGTAGAAGCGATCGGTTGTTATAGGGCTTCAATTGGGCAATGTGCACAATTTGCGTCTTACGAGAATGCCGGTTCTGAACTGTCACTTTCGCAACAACGTAAGTTACGTCACTCAAGCACTGAGTAATGACGAATGGTCCTGAGTACTTGGAAAGAAGCTTCTGACAAAGTCCCTTCTTTCGAACGGGCATCCGCAGCCAGACAATAACACCCATAGCGAAAGTCACAGGCGGGCGTTTTGCGTCGTAAGGGTCTTTCGCGCGAGCGTGGGCGAAGAGAGTTCGGAGCTGAGCAAGTCAAGAGCTTCTTCGGCGCGACACAAAGTCTGCACGACACTGGAGTTTTCGTTCTTCGAAAAAGGAAGTATGGTGTCAAGGAAACTTTGGGGATGACGAGCATAGAGGAGGAAGAAAGGCGTACCTGTGACCTCGTGTTTCGCGGTATTAAAGGCGTATGTAACGAAAGGTAATACGACATTTCAGTTCTTGTGATCCGCCGCGACGTACATTGAAAGCATGTTGACGATGGTACGATTGGTGCGCTCAGTGAGGCGGTTGGTCTGAGGGTGGTATGGCGTGGAATGCCGATACTGGCACCACAAAGCCGTAGCAACTCTTCGACAATGTCAGCGGTAAACAGCCAGCCGCGATCACTTATCACCACTCGAGAGGCTTCGTGACGGAGTATAATTGAGTGCAGAAGAAACCATGACACATTTTACCCCAAAAAGTCCGTGATGCACGTGTTTCGAAAAGCAGAAGCGATAAGGGTGGTCTCGAGTTCATTTAAAATGGCAGGGTGCTCGTTCGCCGAGGCCCGTGGCATAAGCTGCATGAGGCACTGGCTCCGAAGCTTCGTCGTTCTCGCAACCCGATTCCTTCACATCATTCTCGCCACGTACTTCATTCACAATGCCTAAATTCGTGCACGGTTCCGCAGTGTCGGCATCATCATTGGCCGTAATTAAACCATCCCAACAGATGTCCCACCCGCTCTGCCAGGTCGGAGTCGACGACCCCCTGCCACAAATTGCCGCCGCCGTTCGGAAGCTTCAGGCTCGGCATCGGGCCCGACGTCGATGGCCTCGCGAAAACAGTTTCGCGCGCATGTAGTCGTCATCCCCGCCCACAAAATATTCACCATCTCCAAAGCTGAATACAGGGAGGCCCGAAACGGCAAGTTGGCTGCCAGGTGGTCAACAGCTATGAGCAGACGCTCCGCAATGCGGTACCTAACGCGCAAATTACGCTCAAACCAAGCGGTCACACTTTCGACGTTTTGTTGAGCAGCAGGAAAAACCATGCTAGTCCTCCCGTCGACTATCATGACCACACACGCACACCAAGAGCGAGCAAGACGCGCACAGGCCACACACATGCCAGTACGCGTGGAACTGCTCTGAGCCAGTTTCCAGTCAGAAAACGAAAGTAATTCGAGCCAGTCGAGGAGCGGTGGAGAAGGGCGAAGGGGTTGTGATCAAGAGAGGAGACTGATTTGCGAGAGAAGAACAAGTAGTTGCGATAAAGAGAGGGAAAGATGCGGCGAGAGGGTGACCTTAAAAACCAAAACACACGGGTAGGCACTGCGCCGTGCTCCCGACCGGGTTGCAGAAATTAGGTGTCTTTTCTCATCTTCTAACCACTACCACCACCACACACGGGAAGGAGGCAGGTTGGGTAGCTTGCTTGAAAGGTCCGCGAAACTCGCACATAAAAAAACTTTAAAAGAGTGCCTGCGCGCGCAGGAGTCAAAGAACGACCGCCTGGATCGGTGCGCGCGGCGGTGTTCGAAAAATCGGCGGCCGCGGTCAAAAAAACGTTTTGTTGCGCCGGCAGGTTTGCGTGGCGTCACGAACTTCGATGTTTCACGATTCGTTCCGCGCAAATTAACAGCCGTTTTCGCGCTTTTGCATGCGCGCGGAAGGCATGCTGAGCCGAGTGAGAAGTGAGCGAGAACAAGTCTTAAACA